GGTGGCGCAAGTTAGAAATGACATTCTCCTGCAATATTGCCAAGTCGTGATATCATCCGAATGGTTCTAGGAGCTGATTGGTCGGGCTTGTTTCGTCACAGAGCTCGCCACAATCATATCGTTTTGAATAAACCACCGATACAGCACATTTCCATTATTTTTTTCCTTATCGGCCACTATTTTTAAATTAAATTTGTGGTTTTGTGGATAACGTACCAAGACAGGGCGAACAACACGAAAGCCAGAAGAATTGATATCCAGACTTCTTTCCTGAAGGCAAACTATCAAAACCTCAAGGTACGATATTTTATCTGCTTGGGGGACAACGAACACAACATTGTCTCTTGCATACACATGACTTGCATGATTATATATAAAAGTTTCAGACGTCAGTACCATATCGGCGTATACATCCGGATCTGAGAATTTTTCGTTGATATGAACAAAGACGAGAGAAATGTTTAACATTTCCCGCGTAACATTCAAGGTATAGTCCCTTGGATCAAAGTCGTACCGCGATTTAACGTAGATGCCGACACTTGCGGGGCACCCATCATAGTCCCTGGTAGCTTTAGGAATTGTGTCCGTAATTGATCCTATGCAACTTTGATTGTGGATCACGTTTAATTGGTTTCCGCAATAATTCAACGGGTCGTTCGGATCTTCCGTAAATAAGAGCGACTTCGCGCAGCTTTCGATGTCGATCGCCATCACTGCGACGTAGACCGCCATCTTCCAACACCACTTAAAAACCGCTTCCGCTAAATTATTTTGGTCGGTTATCACTAGAAATCGTCCATTGTGTATATTTGTCATCAAATAGGCCATGCTTCGCTTACATATGCTGAAGTTGGTAGCTTGAATTACGAAGTTGTAGAAAGGCCATCTTGGAAGTGTCGTGCCATTGATGTTAACAAGAATCTTGTGATTATTTATATGGAACGGTAAGAGATCGATCATGTTATCGTAGTAAACGAAGTAAACGGGTTCGTTTCCAAAAATCGCTTTAACAGCCTTCGCGGCACATACCTCCACCGACCGCGAGGGCTTACTGATTGCAATTTGCGAATTGTTAACTGAGCGCAGAAAAATTACGAAAATAACACAAAATAGAATATCGCCTTTCATTACACGGACTTGCAAGAACGTTTACAAATGACGCGAGGTAAAGTAAAACGCGAGCTAGAACCTTTTGATGCAATTGATTAATGATGTTAGTAGTAATTTTTATTGTTTGCGGAACCGTACAGACTATAATTTCGTGTTTTTCCACCCACATCTAGACAATTACTGAACATTTACCTGTGAGTAATAGACCGTTACGAATTGAAATACAGCCATTCATACTTATTTTAATTTTTTTCGTATACAGTGGCCAAAATGGCTTAACACACTCTACAAAACAGTTCATTACAATTTTTTTGAGTTCCCTTGTTTTTAAGAATTTTTGAATTGAAAGTTTAAACTATTTACTTTATTTTTCTAAATTTGCATTTTTCTCTAAACTCTTTCTACAAAGAAGGCTTCTACACTTTTTGCGTCAGGTTCAGAGTAAAGGGGCTAGGGGCATTTTCTAAATGTAATGTTATACTATGACCAAAGATAATTGCAATGACTATTAAAGGTAGTCGGAAAGTCAAGTCAAGAGTTTACCTGACAGTTTAAAAAGCTAACCTAAATTATGGATTCAGGATTTGAGCTCCACCAAGGCTCAAACTCGAATTGAATGAACGTGGATTTCTCGCTGACGTAGTGCTCGAAAAATATACCTCCCTATTCCACAAAAACCGTACACAAAATTGCGCTAATAGTCTTTAGTCGTTGTCAGAGCGAACAAATAGATTGCGCCTACTTCACCAAATCACGCGTATCACTCAAAACTCGCCAGATATCAAGATCGCTTAGTTTTGCACTGCTCCATAACATCACTATGCGTAATTTTGATTCAGTTGTTTTGGTAACGTAAAATGCATTAGCATTGTGTTATCGCTCGTCAGACTGGCGCTGATAGCTTTTTACTGGTAATTAACCGGTCTGCCATTGCCTAACAAAATATAGATCGGCAGTTCATTAAGAATCCATTGAAATTGAAGCTAGTGGAAGCTCCTTGTATCAACTCTGCACCATTCATTTGAAAAATTGCCCTTACACTACCAAAATATTATTGAAACATGCATATTGAAGGTAGAAACCCTTGCACTTATTCGTAAAATTCGGTAGCTTAGTGACGTTATGACGTCACAAAGATGGTCGCCGAGCTAAAATTGTAGTTTACCATTCCAAAGTTTGGTTTCATTTGGGAAGAGTAATAGAATCATACAAATTTTGATTCAGCATAAAGCTAGGATCAATGTTTCAGATGATACTTTGTGAAATTCGGTATTTTAATTACGTTACGACGTCACAAAGATGGCCGCCGGGCTAAAATTGTAGTTTACCATTCCAAAGTTTGGTTTCATTTGGAAAGAGTAATAGGATCGTACAAATTTTGATTCAGCATAAAGCTAGGATCAATGTTTGAGATGATACTTTGTGAAATTTGGTATTTTAATTACGTTACGACGTCACAAAGATGGCCGCCGGGCTAAAATTGTAGTTTACCATTCCAAAGTTTGGCTTCATTTGGAAAGAGTAATAGAATCATACAAATTTTGATTCAGCATAAAGCTAGGATCAGTGTTTGAGATGATACTTTGTGAAATTTGGTATTTTAATTACGTTACGACGTCACAAAGATGGCCGCCGGGCTAAAATTGTAGTTTACCATTCCAATGTTTGGCTTCATTTGGAAAGAGTAATAGAATCATACAAATTTTGATTCAGCATAAAGCTAGGATCAATGTTTGAGATGATACTTTGTGAAATTCAGTATTTTAATTACGTTACGACGTCACAAAGATGGCCGCCGGGCTAAAATTGTAGTTTACCATTCCAATGTTTGGCTTCATTTGGAAAGAGTGATAGGATCATACAAATTTTGATTCAGCATAAAGCTAGGATCAGTGTTTGAGATGATACTTTGTGAAATTTGGTATTTTAATTACGTTACGACGTTACAAAGATGGCCGCCGGGCTAAAATTGTTGTTTACCATTCCAAAGGTTATCTTCATTTGGAAAGAGGAATAGAATCATACAAATTTTGATTCAGCATAAAGCTAGGATCAGTGTTTGAGATGATACTTTGTGAAATTTGGTATTTTAATTACGTTACGACGTCACAAAGATGGCCGCCGGGCTCAAATTGTAGTTTACCATTCCAAAGTTTGGTTTCATTTGGAAAGAGTAATAGGATCATACAAATTTTGATTCAGCATAAAGCTGGGATCAGTGTTTGAGATGATACTTTGTGAAATTTGGTATTTTAATTACGTTACGACGTTACAAAGATGGCCGCCGGGCTAAAATTGTTGTTTACCATTCCAAAGGTTATCTTCATTTGGAAAGAGAAATAGAATCATACAAATTTTGATTCAGCATAAAGCTAGGATCAGTGTTTGAGATGATACTTTGTGAA